TCAGAAATTCCACGCGCGCAAAAATTCCAGCTGCCAACCGCCAAGGAATCGGCACGCGGCGGGCAACCCTCGTGGAACTGCGCGCTTCTGCGACAGCTGCCTCAGCAACACGTGGCAGCAGCGCATCAGTTCATTATGGAAAAGCGTCTGCCCGCGCGCAGAGCTGGGCCATGCCACGAAAACCACCTCGTCCTCTTGCACGCGGCACGCCCTCAGGCGTGGGAAATGCTCGAATGCCGCTTTGAGCGCGCTCACCACCTCGGGCTTGGACGGCCTAACCCGCTTCTTCCGCCTTGCCCCGCCCTCCTGGTCCTTCGCGGCCACGTTGCAGTTGTCGACGCAGGCGTTCACGGGGGGCCGGCTGCGCCCCGCGAGGAGCACGCGGCGAATGAGCTCCCTGTCCTTGAACATTGCCTTCGCGAAAAGCATGCGCCCCACCTCGCCGAGGCCTTCCTTGTCGAAATCTTCCTCGCTCGGCAGGTCGCTGAACTGCAGCGCTTGCACCTCCGAAGAAAACGCGTCCTCGTCCGGGGGGGCCGGAACAAACGCGTCGCCCTCTCCGGCGCCGACGGCAGCGGGCTGCGAAATGGCGGGCCCCTCTGCCGCGGAGCCCGCGACCGGCGGCGCGTCCGCGGCATATCTGACTGCAACCAGCGGCGGCGGCGACCCGGAAGTCACCGGCGGCTGCGCGGCGAGAGGCGCGCCGAAGCCATCCGCGGAGTACTGGCCGCGAACAGGCCGGGCCAAGCGATTCTGCAACTCCTCGCCCTCGCCCTCGCTGTCGTCGTCTTTACCTGCGGGCGGCGGTGAAAAGAAAGGGGGGGGGCGGGGTCAACCGGGGGCGCGCAAGGGCGCGCGCGGGCAGATGAGAGGCGCGGGGGGGGGGGGCGCCAGCATTTGGAAAAACCCGCGGGCGCCGACTTCGTCCAGAGCAGCTCGCCAAATGTCCCGGATGGCGAGGCTGATGTCGAGCATGCGCCTGGCGCACTGGACGTGGTCAGCGGCGATGATCGGCAACCCGGAAGCCTCGTCCAAGGTGCCCCCGCCCACGGCGTGATCCAGGACAGCCAGGAGAGCGGCCTGGACGCCCTGCTGGCCAGCGGCATTGGACTCCAACGCGGAGATCGTCGCATCGTCGTCCGCGCGGAGCTGCGCGCGGATGCCCTGGGCCACCTGATTGCCCGCCATGATCTTGCGAGCCTCCACGTCGAAAGGCAAGGTCGCCTGCGGCTTCGTGGCGAAGAGTTACGCAACCTTCTTGGCGCCGGCCTGGACGTGCTCGGCGGGGTCCGCCAATTCCCCCCTGTTTGAAATCCTGAACTCGGTCCGCACAGGCGCGTCGCCCGCGCTGGGCGGCGTCGCGCGCAAGTATCGGAAACGGAAACGGGATTCTTCCCCATCTGGGAATTCCACCTTGTATTCGCCGGGGGCGCCCGCGAAGCTGCAACCCCGGGGGGCAGCCGGCGGCGCCCCCGCCTCCCCGTCGCCCCTCTGCAAGGCCTGGGCCGCGGCACCCAGCGCGTCGAGGAAGGTCTCCCAATCAAACGTCCGCGCCTGCTGGGGCGTGAGCGGCAGCCAGGCCCACGCGGACACGCCAGGCGGAAGGCGGCTCGCCGCGGGCAGCGCGGCGCGGCGGGGAGTGGAATGGTCGATGCAGATGACGAACCTTTCCTTGGTGCGCGCCGTGTGATTGCCCACGCCCCCCCGGTCCATGGCAATGAACTTCTCGGGGCGCCGGTTCCCGAGGAGAGACACCGACGCGCGCTTGCCGCGGGACTCGCCGAAGGTCGCGCTTGTCCGGGTGGCGCGCCTCGTCTGGCCACTGCCGATGAGAGCATTCAAAGTGGATGCGTGGACGACGGGCGCGCGGTCCTTGTCTCCGCCCCCGCGGCCGGCGGTCAGAAGGCCGAGGCCGTCCCAAAACTCGTGCGCCTCGTCCAAATTGAAAGCCCTGCCGCACCGCACATCTGACTGTTTGAAATCGGCAACCCGCCCGTCCCCCTCCGCGAAGTCGACGAGGGGGAAGCTGGTGGAGCACCGGTAGAAGAACTCAGTGATCGTGAAGCTCTGAAGGCAGATGCTCTTCACGGTGACGGGGGGGCCCTGGTCGAGGAGCGAGTCGACGCGGTCGCCGATGACGTCGTCGCACGCGTCGAAGATCTGCTCGCACACGCTGAACAAGCGACTCTTGCCCGCCTGGGCGTTTCCAATTTGGAAAACTGGGGCGAAGAGTGGCGTGGGTTTCTGGCTCCAGATCTTGACGGCGGCGCCGTTCGTGAGCGCCGCCATGGAGCCCGCGACCATGAGAGCCGACGTGTAGTATCCCTGGCAAGTGGTGTTCACGATGGGCTCCAAGAACTCGCGCACCTTTTCGGGGAGGTGCTCCGTCGGGCAGAATTCAGGATCACAGAAGTCGCAGTGCTCATGCGACTCATGGGCGCCAATGGTTACACAGTGCCAATGGTTAAATGAGCCAGGGAGCCGCGAAAATAATTGACTACATCATCAAATAAGTAATTAATGATTTACATATTCGCTTGCGTGCTCATTGTAATAATCATTTAGACTATCATCCAATCCGTATCGTTCCGCGCCTCCTCCACACAGTGCCAATGGTTAAATGAGCAAGGGAACCACGCAAATAATTCAATACATGATTACATAATTATTTGCTTAGTTTCATGTTCGCTTGCGTGCTCATTGGAATAATCATTTAGATTATCATCCAATCCGTATCATTCCGCGCCTCCTCCACACAGTGCCAAGGGTCAAATGAGCAAGGGAACCACGCAAATAATTAAATAAATACTTAAATACTTAAATAAATACTTAAATCATTATTTAATCATCTACATGTTCGCTTGCGCGCTCATTGGGAGTAGCCATTTTGAGTAGCATTCAATCCGTCATCGTTCCGAGCCCCCGCCACGCAGTGCCATTGGTTAAATGAGCAAAGCAACCATGCAAATAATTGAATACATAGTTAACTAATTATTTAATTACTTACTTATTTACATGTTCGCTGACGTGCTCATTGAAATAACAATGTTGATGAGCATTCAATCAGTCATCGTTCCAAGCCCCCGCCACACAGTGCCATTGGTTAAATGAGCAATGGAACCACGCAAATAAGTAAATACAAAATTAAATCATTACTTAATTATTGACATGTTCGCTTGCGTGCTCATCGAAATAACCATTTTGATTAGCATTCAATCCGCCATCGTTCCGCGCCTCCCCCATGCAGTGTCAATGATTAAATGAGCAAGGGAGCTAATTACGCAAATATTTAAATCCATAATTAAATAACTGTTTTATTGCTTACATGTTCGCTTGCGTTAATCATTTACAACATGATATGAAATGAATATGTTTAGCCATTCTCTGTAAAACCCCGAGCACCCGCCTGAAAAATACAATACAAGAGCATAGTTCCTGCTTGCAGAACAATAGAATATGAAAGTGCCAAACGATTGTCTATGAGAATGCGGAGCCCGACCCGAAAATTCAAAAAAGACCATAGTTTCCTGCTTACAGAACAGTAGATGAAGATTATGCCAGTCGATTCTGTCAGAATTCGGGCCCCGGCCTGAAAATTCAAAAAAAGGCCATAGCTTCCTGCTTACAAAGCAGAACCCGGCCTGGAATTCAACAAAAAAACAGTTTCCTGCCGGCCAACCGGCCAATCGGCCAACCAGCCAACCCACCGGCCAACCAGCCAACCAACCAACCAACCAACCTGTTTGTGATGAAACCGGCCAATCAACCAGCCAACCGACCAACAAACCCTCCAGCCAGCTGGCCAACCAACCAACCAACCGACCAACGGGCCAACCAACCAACCAACCAAGCGGCAAACCAACCAACCAACCGGCCAACCAACCAACCCACCAACCAACCAACCAAACGACCAAGCAACGGTGTCTGGTGTCCGGTGTCCAATGTGTCCAGTGTCCGGCATCCGGCGTCTGGCGTCCAACGTCCGGTGTCCGGTGTCCGGTGTCCGGTGTCCGGTGTCCAGTGTCCGGTGTCCGATGTCCGGTGTCCGGTGTCTGGCATCCGGCGTCTGGCGTCCAGCGTCCGGTGTCCGGTTCTGGCGTCTGGTGTCCGGTGTCCGGACACCAGACACCAGACACCAGAAGGGCCAGACACCAGACACCAGACACAGTGCCAATGCTTAAATGAACAAGGGAATCACGCAAATAATTAGATAGATAATTAACTAATTATTTAAGTATTTACATGTTCGCTTGCGTGCTCATTGTAATAATCATTTAGATCACCATCCAATCCGCATCGTTCCGCGTCTCCCCCACACAGTGACAATGCTTAAATGAGCAAGGGAACCGCGCAAACAATTGAATACATAATTACATAATTATTGAATTATTTACATGTTCGCTTGCGTGCTCATTGAAATAATACTTTAGATTGTCATCCAATCCGTATCGTTCCGCGCCTCCTCCACACAGTGCCAAGGGTCAAATGAGCAAGGGAACCACGCAAATAATTAAATAAATACTTAAATAATTATCTAATCATCTACATGTTCACTTGCGTGCTCATTGGAAGTGGCCATTTTGAGTAGCATTCAATCCGTCATCGTTCCGCGCCTCCTCCACGCAGTGCCAATAGTTAAATGAGCAAAAGAACCACGCAAATAATTAAATAAATAGTTAACTAATTATTTGATTACTTACTTATTTACATGTTCGCTTACGGGCTCATTGGAATAACCATGTTGATTAGCATTAAATCCGCCATCGTTCCGCGACTCCCCCACGCAGTGTCAATGATTAAATGAGCAAGGGAGCTACGCAAATAATTAAATCCATAATTAAATAACTGTTTTATTGCTTACATGTTCGCTTGCGTTATGATATGAAATGAATATGTTAAACCCCGAGCATCCGCCTGAAAATACAATACAAGAGCATAGTTCCTGCTTGCAGAACAATAGAGAATGAAAGTGCCAAACGATTGTCTATGAGAATGCGGAGCCCGACCAGAAAATTCAAAAAAGACCATAGTTTCCTGCTTACAGAACAGTAGATGAAAATTATGCCAATCGATTCTGTCAGAATTCGGACCCCGGCCTGAAAATTCAAAAAAAGGCCATACCTTCCTGCTTACAAAACAGAACCCGGCCTGGAGATTCAACAAAAAACTATAGTTTCCTGCCAACCAACCGGCCAACTAACCAACCAACCGGCCAACCGGCCCATCGGCCAACCAGCCAACGCACCGGCCAACCAGCCAACCAACCAACCAACCAACCAACCAACCTGTTTGTAATGAAACCGGCCAATCAACCAGCCAACCGACCAACAAACCAACCAACCGACCAACGGGCCAACCAACCAACCAACCAGGCGGCAAACCAACCAACCAACCAACCAGCCAACCAACAAACCCACAAACCAACCAACAAAACGACCAAACAACGGTGTCCGGTGTCCGGAGTCCAGTGTCCGGTGTCGGGTGTCCGGTGTCCGGTATCCGGCGTCGGGCGTCCAACGTCCAGCATCCGGTGTCCGGTGTCCGGTGCCCGATGTCCGGTGTCCGGTGTCCGGCATCCGGCGTCCGGCGTCCGATGTCGCGGGTGTCTGGTGTCCGGTGTCTGGTGTCCGGTGTCCGGTGTCCGGTGCCGGGTGTCCGGTGTCCGGTGTCCGGTGTCCGGTGTCCGGTGTCAGGTCTCCGGTCTCCGGTGTCTGGTGTCCGGCGTCCAGTCCAGTGTCCGGTGCCCGGTGTCCGGTGTCCAGTGTCCAATGTCTGGTGTCCGGTGTCCGGTGTCCGATGGCTGGTGTCTGGTGTGCGGTGTCCGGTGTCCGGTGTCTGGTGTCCGGTGTCCGGTGTCCGGTGTCGGATGTCCGGTGGCCGGTGTCCGGTGTCTGGTGGCCGGTGTCCGGTGTCTGGTGTCCGGTGTCCGGTGTCCGGTGCCCGGTGTCCGGTGCCCGCGGTGCCCGGTGTCCGGTGTCCTGTGTCCGGTGTCTGGTGCCCGGTGTCGGGTGTCCGGTGTCGGGTGTCTGGTGTCCGGTGTCCGGTGGCCGGTGGCCGGTGTCCGGTGTCCGGTGTCCGTTGTCCGGTGTCCGGTGTCCGGTGCCCGGTGTCCGGTGCCCGGTGCCCGGTGTCCGGTGTCCGGTGTCTGGTGTCCGGTGTCCGGTGTCCGGTGTCCGGTGTCCGGAGTCCGGTGTCCGGTGTCCGGTGTCTGGTGCTGCGAGGGCCGCGGCCCTTAGTAAGTCTTCGGGGTGTTTGCAACAGCTTGCAGGTAGCTTGCACTCGGCTTGCAAAGCGTTTGCAACCTAGCTTAATGTTACTTGTAATCACGCGATCCTATTTCCACCCGCCCCTTATCTTTTAGCGTGTTTAGCGTCGGACGGACATCACGGTTAACCCGAGCGATCTTGGTTAAGCGTAATTCAGAGGGGGTGGATAGCTTATATTGGGAAGTCGATTCGCGCGGTTAGCGTTCTCACTTACTTTTTAGCTTGTAAGGGGGGTAACGTAAGTTAGGGCTTGTAGGTTAGATGTGGAGTTAGCTAACCCAGCTATCCTAGTTAGGGGGTCGCACATTTCGGAGGGGACCGTTCCGAATTTCGATGCAGCTGAGACAATATTTGATTCGCGAACGGATGTTTTCTGGACTGTATATCGATTATTTTCACGGTGATGGGCGGGAGAGGGATGCCACTCATCATCACGTAGCCGTTCTGTAGCCGTATGAGTTTCCTTTTTTTGGTTGTCCAGCGAGAACTTCACGCATGGAGAAAGCACTGCAAGCTTGCGGTGACACTATTACACAGATGATCGGACAGTTTTTAGGCGGCCAGTCAAATCACAAGCACACCCAGATCACGCCAGCCCTGAGCAACCTGAAGAAGATGCTTCTGCAGCACGACCTGGCGTATGAGCTTGTCATACCAGCGCAAAGCTTGAATTGTCATTTTCAAACTCGGCACGGTATCGGAGTTGACAGCGACGCAGTGCACAAGTTACTCAACATGATTCTTTCAATTGGGTTTGATATTGAAAAGACTCGTGAATCTGTATGTTTCGAGGTCTCCAAAGACCCATCGAAGTTCAAGAAGCAAGTAGAGTTCAACAAAACACTTGCCACATCGAGCAGTGGAGGGCTTGCAGATGTGAACCCTGCAGACTGCAAGTATTTGACCGTTGCTGGCAGCCACACGTTACAGCTGTTGCGGTGAATCATCTTCGGCTGCACGAGCGAGACGAACACATCACTGACCAGACGGGCAAGATAGTCCAGGACGGAGGGGCGGTAACAAGCCAACAGCGCACGAGAGTCATAGTTTCGACCCTTGGGTTGAAACCGTGGCGCGCGTACGCTGTTGCTGGTCACCCCTCCGTCTAAGAGAAGGCGTTTGCCCTCTGCGACTCTCTCAGGAAGCCCTGCACCGAGGGGTACACGTGG